GCATCCTGCTCTGGTCTTGGAGACCCCAGAGCACTAGGTGGAAGGGCAGAGAAGCATTTTGCACAATGGAGAAGCCAGAAGGAAGGGGTGGCCCAGATGGCTGGGAGGGCTAAGAAGCACAGAGGAGGAGCCCTTCCCACAGGCAAAAGCAGAGCTCCTAGCCCCCTGGTTGGGGTTAGGGCACTGAGTCTGTCACCACCTGGGCACTCGAGAGGTGAAACCAAAGGTGGGCAGGGGATGGGTGACAGCACTGGGGACCACTCTTGTTGGTCCTAGGTCTGTGAAGCCCTTCCCCAATGCCTTGTGTCGCGTACAGTTTTATGTACAAATAGGCGACATTTGGCCAGAGGATACCCCCTCAAACCCAGCCTGACCCAGTCAGTGTCTTCCTAGAGGGGACCTAGTCGGTCCCCACCCCCCTACTTCAGAGCATGTCTCTTGGTAGGGGGAGGGTATATGGGGACATATTTCTCTCCTAGGGTCCCTGAAGTGTGTCTCACACCCCGGGGGAGAGTCTCTGGAGCATCCCTCACCTCTGGGGGCTCCCTAACCCCTATCTCTCCCCTTGGGAGTCTCTGAGGGGACATGTATTCCCACTGGGGACCATGGGAGCATGTCTCCCCCATTCCCAGGCTCCCTGGGGAGCTTGTTTTCCTCCCAGGGTTCCTGGGCATACTTAAGGCATGTCAGTCTTCCCAGGGAATGGGGCGATCTCCGAAGCATGCCTGGGAAGGATATTTCTGGCCCTCCCTGCATCTCTGCTCTGGGGGGGTCTCTGACCTGCAGCACTTTGGGAAGAGACTGGGCAGCTCCGAGTTGTCTGTTCTCCTAGAGCTCTGGGGTACCTCTCTTCTGAGGGCCCGGCCTCTGGAGCCATTTCTTCCCTGAGTGGGGGCTGTCTCCTGGTGGCGGGAGGGCTTCTGTTGGCCATGAGAAAGTCTCTACGTGGGACTTCTCTGGGAGGGGGGACTGTGTCTCGCCCATGGGGTTCCTAGGCGGGTGTGTCTACCCGCAGGGAGGGGGAGACTGTGTCTCCTCGGGTTATC